AGGCCTCGGCCTCTGAAAGGTCTCGGCCTCGGCCTCTGAAAGGCCTCGGCCTCTGAAAGGTCTCGGCCTCTGAAAGGTCAATAACCAGATGACTGTGTCACTTTAAATACCTTGGAATCACTGTTGGAATCACCGTTTCCTGTAGATCGCTGAGACACAGCGTCTTTTCCTGCTGTACCAGATATTCTCCTACTCTTCTCATGACCCAAACTACTATGCTAACCCAATAATAGTCATCTCACTCTAGAGCTGTTCTTCTGCCCAGATGACCAGGAAACCAGCATGGGGGTTGAGGGCAGATTGGTGGCGGCACACAGCAACACAGACATGGAGGAGAGATCAGTCCTCATTATGATGCCGTCATTTCCAGCATCCTCACCAGAGACAGAGGGTATGGGGGGTGGGGATTTACCAGTTTATCGACAGTTCTAATCGTAAACACAAATCATTAGGGCGCCAAACAGAAACCAAAGCAGGATCCAAACAAATGTGCTGTAATTGGCCTGGATAGCGAAATGTAGACAGCACCTTGAGACATAATCAAGAATTTGATTTAGGGGTGAGTCGTCCTTTAACCACGACTAATACTAATAAAAACAGAATAAACAGCCATAACTTTGTTTAGTTTCATAACAAAAATGCTTCTGCTTCTTTAGGCATTTAAACACAATCTCAGGGCCCCATACTAGTCGACTGGATCCCAAGTGGGGTCACGACCCCCCTGCTTTGGGACTCGCTGGTTTAGAGGCAGTGTAGGGCATTTTTTTAAAGGTCCTGACCTCTAGCTGGATGAAGCTGCCGGGGTTGTAGCGGTACGCCTTCAGAGGGTCCAGCTGGTTCAGAGGCTTCAGGACTGGGTTGGGTGCGTAGCTAAAGGCCTCAGAGCTCAGGCCTCTGAATTCAAAGCAAAGGCTGTCCAGCAGAAACTGTACGGAGATCTTTGAGTCCAAGATGGAGGAGTCCACCATAGGGGAGCGGCACAAGATCAGGGAGGAGTTGTTGACCTCACAAAGCTGTAAGAACTGAGGAGGAGGATCCACAGTCAGAACAGTCTGATAATCTGTGAGCAGACGTACACAGACAGCCGTGAACTCACCTGTGTGATGGGGCAGAACGGCTCTCTGCAGCAGAGCGGATCAGGAAGCTCCCCACTCAGCCTCCTCAGGGTCCACGCCCCTTCCTCTGACATTCTCCTCCTCCTCTTCCTCCTGCTCCCAGTGACGGACTCGCGTGGGAAGACATTCACCAGCATCTGTGGCTTCTGCACCACATCCAGGTTGTGACCAGATACATGGATCAGCCGTCCGCCGCTAACAGGAGGGGTTTCATATTTAGTCTGGGGTTGAGCAGCAGGGTAACAGGTTTACCGGGCCAGACTTACTGCAGGAAGCTCTTGGCTGGCCAGGCAGTGCTGATGTTGGGGTTGTTGGTGTAGCTGAAGAGCTGAGCATGGAGGTGGCGCAGCGTGCCGCCGTAATGCAACGTGATGCGGTAACTTCCTGCTTTACTCATGCTGCCTGTGACACACCGAACGCTGGAGCTCTGCACCTCGGACACTCTGGGAGGACCAAGGAGGAGAAGAAGACACTTTCATTAGTGATGAGCGTAATCCAGACTACAGATTGTTTAATGTTTTCTAGTGTGCGCTGCATCTCTGCTGCTGCTTCTTAAAGGATAGTAAATTAAATATGTGCAAAAACAGCAGTGATGGCTGCATAAAGCAGGGAAACCATGACAACTGTCTGTGTGCAGCTTACATTGTACAGGGGACCCCGCCCACTGTGATGGTGAGGTCAGAGGGATGACCTGTCAGCAGCTTTCTCCCGCTGATGGTCAGGGTTGTCCCTCCTGCCTTTGGACCTCTTTCAGGTGAGACGGCCATAACAAACGGGTCCTGAGAATCAGAGAGAGCAACAGAAGAACTTAGATCTCCAGAAAGTCCAAACCAATAATATATACAATAATAATGCTGCTATAGGCTTAGACTGCTGGAGGACATAAGGACCCCTTTTTCATCATTCTGCTTCATTCTATCTCTATTCTCCCACTCTGCAGAATCTGTTAGTTCAATCTCTAACGTTCTGCTCTCTCTGCTTTTTCTCATAGTAGCTTCATCTGGTCTGTTCCTGTTTGGCTGTGACTCCATCCTGGAGAGAAATATCAGCTGTGCTGCTGCCATCAACACCTTAAGGGCTGGTTATCCTCCCGCAGCAGTGTGTAGCATTTAGCTTGTCACAGGTATGATGCAGACATTTTTGATTTATGCTCAATATTGCAGCCCGGTCTGCGCTATGTTATTCCATGCCACAACGCCAGAGGGCCAATCAGGAACTAGCTTTGGGTCTAGATTCGGTCGAGGCTGTGAGGAAATGGGGGAAAGTTTGGGCAACATTGGAGGGAAATGAGGACCAAAAGGAGCGGGGATCCAGGTGGAAAAGGGTCCCAGCGTTCTGACGCACCTCGCTCTACTAGCTGGTCCATCTTCACCAGTCGTTTTCCACAATGGTGCTCATACAAACAAAACAAGCCAGTAAGGAACCAAATAAACCTGTTGGCTTATTCTATCTCACTTCTGTGTCTGGTCAATATGTTGGTAAATTTGAGAATTGCGGGTTCTTACCATGATTGGAGGGATGATTTCTCTGTAGACTCGTGTGTGCAATGAGTCAACAGAGAAATGACCAAGATAAGAAGTGAGAATGTGTGAAACATCCGATGCTCAGGGGGATGAGACATGAGCATCGCTCATTGCTGTTCACTGAGGCTAAAGCTGCAGATGCTGCCGAGCCGGTGGATGTGAGAGTAAGAACTGCCAGCAGATGGCGACAGCGCACAGCTATGTTACTGTCTGTTGATCACATCTGGTGTAAAAAGTATTTTCAGGCTCAAAAAGGACCAAGTAAACGCTTACAGGCTTTATTTCAACGCAGACACATGTTTTTAGAGGTTTTGAAAACTTCTTGAGAAATAATTTTTTTGTTGCTTATTGAGACATTTGACGTCCCACAGTTTCTGTACCTGGTAGCTGAAAACCTGAGTGGAACTGCGCTGGTCTCCTCCACCGACCTTCACAGTCACAGGACCCTCCTTCTCTCCACTGCTGCCTTTGGTCCGACACACAATCCTGGAGGACGGACAGACAGACAGACATCAGGGGAACTGATGCACCTCTGCAGGCTTCAAGTTTCTCTGCACGCTGCCTTTTGAACCAGCAGCAGAGCAAGTCTGTGTGAACAGCACCTAGAGGAGACTTCGTACTGCTCCGGGATGACGATGCACGGCTCCCCAGCTACAGTCACAGAGTGCAGGATGTCTTCAGCCTTCTGGCCCAGGTTGGACCCGGAAATGGTCACCAGGGTCCCCCCCTCCAGCAGGCCGGAGAGAGGCTGGACCTAAAGGAAAGGAGGAAAGCCCAGAGCATTGACCAAGCGGTCTTCAGGAGCGGCGGTTGGAGCATTTCTAATGGAGGAAGAGCCAGAAAGATCCCTGAGGGCAGGAACTCACTGAGAGAATGACAGGAGCGGGGCATGTCTGCTGGACCTGCTCACTGCAGGAGGCAGAATACAAGCATTTGGCCACAGGACCGCCGCACCACACGCAGCCATACTTGTGGGCCGCCGTATGGCAGCGGCTGCAGTCTGACCGCCCGACAGAGCAGTTATACAGGGTCACTGAGGGCAAGAGAACAAACAGAACATTCACACCCAAACCAGTCTTTCAGCCACCTGACTGGCAGTCAGAAGGAATGCCATGCACTTGACGTCAGAGAAGAGTGGTCGATCTCACCAGAGAGGTTAGGAGAGGTGTCCAGGTGGAAGGTGTTCCTCCTTTTCACGTACACCATGGCAGCGTACTCCTCTGCCTGAGCCAGGTACGCGTACTGAACACAGGGAGAGAGAATGGTAAACGGCATGTACTTATATAGCGCCTTTATTCAAGGCGGGAGATTTGACCAAAGCGCTTTACACTACATTCATTCACCCATTCACACACACACTGATGGTGGCAGGCTACATTGTAGCCACAGCTGCCCTGGGGCTCACTGACAGAAGCGGGGCTGCCGTACACTGGCGCCACCGGGCCCTCTGACCACCATCAGTAGACGATGCAGGTGAAGTGTCTTGCCCAAGGACACAACGACACTGAAAGTCGGAGTCGGGGCTTGAACCGTCAACCCTTTGACTTCAGGGCGCCGGATCGCCATGCCGGCGCGGTTGGACCGAGCCGGGCTGCTGAATCCGAACGTTCCGGAAACCGCACCCCTTTACAGGAGAGCAGGAGACCCTGTCTGTTCAGCCAGGCCAACAATGCCCTCTAGCAACCCACGTCTCAGAGACATAGACAGGTATGGGGCATTGCAGGGTAACACAGAAGCCAAATGACCCCCATTCCAAAGGGGGGGACCCGTTCATCTGTTTCTATTTGCATGTTTTCTAAACTAAAACCAGGCTTTGTTGGGCTGCTGGATAAAACCTGGAACTAAACGCTATTTCTGACATTTTGAATTGAAAAAGCTTCCTGGATGGGGAGAGAAACGTCTTCAAACTTGGAAACAAAGTCGAGTGGATTGATTTTTTAAAATTTTTTGGAACGTTCCTGAAGGATTAATGGAGCGGGTTCTAAAAAATGAACGTGACTGAATCCCGTTATATGAGAACACACCCTGAAGGGCCAAGAAAATGGCTGTTATTAGGAAGAAATATTAAGATGGTTTTTCTATTTTACTCAATAGAGAAAATAATTCCTTCTGTAAAACTTTATGCTAAAATAAAAACCATAATTTCTTCTCTAAAATCAGCTTATTTCTCCTCACTATGGGTCGTATGGAAGGCGTCCATATTTGCTTCTAATCTGATGTTTTCTATTTTAAACCTTTTCCGTAAAGGATGCTCTTAACAGCTTCTTCTTCTATCTTCAGTTTTTTTTTTTCATCAGGACTTAAAAATGAAGCATAAACTAGAAAATGATCACTTCCTCATCACAATTTTACCGTGTCTTTGTTGTGCTAACACCCAAAAAGATGAAGGTAAATAGATTCCAGATGTTTCTCATCAGCTGCAGCTGGATCCCACACTACGCTAAACGGAGGTGGCAGAGACCCAGACACCGACCCTCTCAGGGTTTCCTGGTGAACCTGAGGGGATCTGAGCGTTTCCCACAGCGTCTCCGAGCTGCTTGTGGATAAACATGGAGGCTCTGAGCTCCTGAAAAGGCAGCCGTAGAGCTAGCTGAGCTCCCTGCTGAACAAAAACAATCATTACTGAGAAGCTTCTCAGGCCCAAACCTTGTGAAGCTGACAGGTGATGTAGAAGTTTGATGGATTCATGTCGTCGGCTTCCACGAAGGCGTCCACCACCACCGTCTGGCCCTCGATAACCAGCACACACTCATAGTCCAGCTCTGCGTCCTGCACACACAGACCAGGGTCAAAGACCAGTCCGCCGTCCCCTTGGGGCTCTGAGGGCTCTGTGTTTCGGACCTGATAGAGGTGGAGGTTGCGTGCCAGTAAGGTGATCTTCCTCTCCACTTGGACAGGCAGCAGGGACGATCCTTGGACCTTCTCCACACAGGGACACGCCGAGGAGCCCCAGCTGATGTAGGGGCCCTCATCACCCTGCAGGGCCACACATTGATAAGTTCAGCCATCCTCAGAGTCCCCTAATGTTCTAGAAACTGAACCTTTTCAAGTCAATCCTGTCATATTTCGGCAGAAGCAACGTACCTGCATCCAATCCCACTGCAGCAGACTTTTTTTTTTAGAGTTCAGTCGTTTTAAATGCTCTTGACTTCTGTTTGTTTTACCCTCAGAAATTCGCTCAGTTTAACAGAGAAGGAGTGAAGGAGAAATAAGATTTTTTATGTTTTGACTGTTCAGCCGTAGCGTCCTCTGATTCAATATAGGATTTACATATAAAAGCTTGAAAACACCGCTTACGTACGACTTTTTAATCTCTGATCCGTCCTGCATAGAGAGGCTCCGACTAGGCAGAGTGAGCAGATCTGTCACGTTTGACTGAAACAGATTATGAAAATGTTTAAAAAATAATAAAAAACCACAGCAAAGAAAAACGCAGCAATAAACTCTGTGGGACGGTTTCTATGGCGACTAAGGCAGAGAGGTGATTCTCAGAGAGATCTGGGAAGTTTATCCAAGTTTTTCTTTCTTTTTTCCACAAAGAGGTGAGAGAGATACGCTGCGTTTACCTGCTCTGTCTGCCTCTCCTTATTTTGGTTTCTGTGAGGCTCAAAGAGGATCACTACTTTATCCGTTTTCTGTCCTCCTGAATTCCTGTCATGGGGAAAGTTTTCTATTTTAATGTTTCATTCATTGTTTCAGTCTGTCCTGCTCACAATACGAGTGATGAGCGATTGAAAACTGACTCTTTCTCAGTGAGATTAACAGATTTTATTTTGTATTTTCCTCCAAAGCGGATGTGCTTTATTTTGTAACCACGTCTCTCGTCGTCAGACCCATGAAATTGTTGCTGAATTGCTGCGTAGTCTGACTAAAATAGACCAGGGGTTTATCTCAGTTGGAGCTATGCTGCCCCCTGCAGGTGTGATCATCCCCATTGACTTTATATGAGTGCTAAATACCACGATCATCATTAGCTAACCACTAGATGGCAGTAATTCATTTAGCTAACCAATAGATGGCAGTAA